CATTACGAAATCAGGCGACCCTCGCTGGTGACCAAGACTGATCCGCTGGGGTTCTGATTTATCACTGACCTCCAATAAATTATCACCGCCAAGAATTCAGAAATGTGATGTGACTGTCAACAATTACGCGAATCGTACGTTCAATAATTGGCACTTATCAAACGGAGAAAGTTGTGTTTTGAAAGCAAGCAGAAATTTTATATCGCACGAACTGGCAATTTTTCATTCGTGGAAAAAGTTCGAGTACGTTCAACTTAACTATTCCCCCGACTCGATCAGACTGCTGCGGTTCTTCGTTTCAAAGGAAGCACAAGTGGAAAAAATCCAAAAGCAGTTGCCATTTACAGTCGTTATGATTTTTTTTTAATAAAAGGATGTCCGTTCCAATCGGGGAAAGGGCGGATTTTTACGCGTATTTGAAAATACAAAGAGCGCATAATTAAAATATAGAGAAATATATGAAGTATATATTTTACAGGTGTAATTTAACGTTGTCGTGATTTTGTAATGAATGAATATTTAATTTCACGCTCGTGTAAAAATACGAATTTATATGGAAACCTACTAATTATTGTACTTCGCAAAGTACTCGCGAAGAAAGAAACATATTTAGAAAAAAATTTTTCATTATTTAATATTCCTGATTTTTAATGTACAATGTTCGGCTAATATTCGAGCTTTGAATTATAAAGTAATAGCACGTTAATATATAATATACAAGACGTAACGTAAAGTAATAATACTTAATGTTTAAATTAATATAATATATAAAACGTAATGTAAAGTAATAGTAGTATATAATATATAAAACGTAATGTAAAGTAATAATACTTAATGTTTAAATTAATATTTAATTTTTTAATTATTTGTTAAATTAATTAAAATTAATTAATATTGAAAATTTTGTAAATAATAATTCTGAAAATTGTAAATTGTTTGAATATTTGATGAAGTTTCTTTCATCAAGTCAAACAAGTTTTGTACAAAAGATGTTTGCAATTTCTTTTTTTATTAGATATTTAATTTAAAAATTTCATTTTTAATAGGTTAATAGGTTAAGAGTTAGAGAGTAGGAAACACTGATTGTAGAAATAATAATGCGTACCACTCAAAACGGAAATACAGAATGAAATCAATCGTAGCAAACAAAGATTCGTCTTGTTTCTTCAAAAAGTTTCTACAAATGAAAATTTTTTCGTTGCTATACTAATTTCATAATTTAAGAGAAAATTATTGAACTTTCAATCCAGAAAGAACCTAAGGATAATATTAAAAGAAAATTATCGAGAAATAAAACTTACATAAAATGAAATAATGCTCTCAATCACAGGAAAGTAATATGAACGACTACGTATTATGATAAAACTATTAAATTCAATTCAACGATATTTAAGATGAACTTTTCAGCTATTTAGCACTTAAATAAGAGTTTCAATATCCGGAAATCGTCTCTATATAAAATTATATTGAATTTCTGCGTAATTAATTAGTTACATGCAATTAGAGTGCAAGAAAGCCAAACTTCGAACGTGGTGGCGCCATCTATCGGCAAACTATATGTACTATTTAGTATTTAAAATATTTACACAGGCAATTTTTCGAGCCAAAAAAGGTGAAAAGAAAACTGATGCTCCAATTAACAAAATGCAATTGAAAAAGTTCGCCAATGTATTCTCTAAATTAGTTTTTCTTTTGCAAATGAAAATTTTTTCGAGTTATGGACACTAGCGCCGTAGCGGTTGAAAGATGGTACTACTCCCTTTACTACTCCCTTTACTACTATTCCCTTTACTACAAAATTAAAAAATCAAATTTTTTAATTTATAACTTGAATTTTTGAATTGATTGAATATTAAAGCAACAAATTTTACGATTTTTTTAAATTATATCTTGTTCAGAAATTTAGATTGTAAATAAAAAAATTTGATTTTTTAATTTTGTAGTAAAGAGAGTACCATCTTTCGACCGCTACGCGGCGCTAGTTTCCATAAATCGAAAAAATTTTCATTTGCAAGAAAAATTAATTTAGAGAATAAATTGACGAACTTTTTCAATTAAATTTTTTAAATTGGAACATCGACTTTCTTTTGATACCTTTTTTTGACTCGAAAAGTTGCAAATATTTTAAAAAATATTAGTACCAGTTTGCTGATAGATGGCGCCGCCGTGTCGGAAATTGGGCATCTCGCATTATAATTGCGTGTGATTAATTAATTATGCAGAAATTCAAAATACAGAGAAAATGTCCAAATATTGAAATTTTTATTTAAATCCAAAATAGTTTCATCTTATGTACGAATAAATTTAATTTATCAATTTCTTTGGAAATATTAGTCCATGTTTAATAGGACGCTTTACATTGTAACTCCATAATTACATTATAACTTTATGATCAATTAATTAGTAATTAATCAATAATTCAAAGTACTAATAATTTTATAAACAATATAGAAACATTTCAAGTTCTACAATATTTTTATTATAAACTTAAAAACTATCTATATAAATCTGTTATATATTTTTATATGATACGAAAAAGTATTGACTATCAAATCTATTCTGTACTGTATCTGTGCCAAAGTGAATCTGTGACTATGTAAAAGTGAAAAAGCATTGTTCAAAAGCAGCGATGTGAAATGATGTGACGCCTTCAGCGGTCAGTCGCATCAACACACTTGTAGAATGATGTGTACGAGAAGTTCGACTTGCCGCAATTTTCCTTGATCAATAAATAGTTCAAATTACTAAAATTATTCAATAACGAATTAGTGGAAATGTTGCAAACAATGCTCACCAGTACTTAGAAACTTCAATTTAGATGTGAATGAGATTAATATTTGTTGTGTACACGGTAGTAAATAGATCTGCGATTATTCAAAGATTTCGAACAATAATGGAGTGTCTAGTGGCGAATGTAGATAATATGCGATTTGATATTGAAATCGCCCTTGATGAACAATATGGAGCACTTCCTTTACCCTTTACGGGAATGGACAGTATGTGATAGTTTATATATACCTTTGACTAGGTTATCTTTGAATAATGTAGTAATGATTGTAGAATAAAATTGTCAATTTGGAAATATTGAAGTGTATTTTTCAAATAAAAAATAGTTTGTTATATTGACAAATTACTAAAATTTATGTTATTTATTATTATGTCATTAATTAAACTTGTCTGATTATTGCTTCATCTTTACTCGTAGAATCTACTGCTGCAGTATGTCAGTTTTATCCAAGAGGTACATGCGTTAAAGGAGCCTCCTGTCCATTTAGACATGTACGAGGAGATCGTACAATAGTATGTAAACATTGGTTAAGAGGTCTTTGTAAGAAAGGTGATCAGTGTGAATTTTTACATGAATATGATATGACAAAAATGCCAGAATGTTATTTTTATTCTAGATTCAGTAAGTATGAGTAACATGTAATGAGATTTTGTTCTTATTCCTTTTAAAATCTACTTATCATAAATATAAATATCTTCTTTTCTCTTTTTTAATTTTCTTTTTTTTTAATGATATTACTAAGTTTTCCTAATATATTAAATATATTAAAATTATTAATTATTAGATGCTTGTCACAATAAGGAATGTCCATTCCTACATATTGACCCAGAAACAAAAGTCAGAGATTGCCCTTGGTATGATCGTGGATTTTGTAGACATGGACCATTATGCAGACATCGACATGTTCGTCGTGTTTTATGTATGGCATATTTAGCTGGATTTTGTCCTGAAGGGCCAAATTGTAAATTTATGCAGTAAGTTTATTTATCAAGTTAATGTTTCAAACACACTTCATCCTTATTTAGATATATTATTATAATTTTGTATGTATCAGCCCAAGATTTGAATTACCAGCAGTGCAAGATATGCAACCTAAAGAAGGAAAAAAAGTAATGATCACATGTCATTTTTGTGGAGAAGGTGGTCACAAAGCAATTTATTGTAATAAAATGCCACCTGATGTACGCGAAGCTCAAGTTAGACAAGAAATAGAAGGTAATTCCCATGCTACACATCACATGAATACACATAATGGACCTCCACCAAGAGGTCCCCAAAAACCACTTGAAGAAGTCACTTGTTATAAATGTGGAACTAAAGGTCATTATGCTAATAAATGTCCAAAAGGTCATTTAGCATTTTTAAGTCATGCTGGGGGTAGTGGAAATAGTACTCAGAATCAAAATTATCGTAGATGATTTCATTTATTTTATTTATGTAAAATTAATATTGTGATTCTACTTCAATTTTTAGTAAAATCACTCGTCTGTAAAAATTTCTATATTATATAATAAAATAAGTTTAATAATATAGTTCCAACATCTCCAAATAAAATAAAATAACTCTTTATAAGAATTTTGTATTTTTTACAAAAAAAAAATTCATGAAATTAAAGGATATCTTGGGTTAAAATATTACTAACTATATACTATAACAAATTTAATTTATTATTTAAAGAATTAAACATACTTCTAAATAGTCGTTATTACATTTTGTAAATGTATTTAAAGGGTATTTGCTAAATTATTAAATACGCTATTTCTATGAGCGCATCGATTTTCGACGTAGAATGTTATAAAAAGATATATTTGTTTACCGCTAATTTAATTTGTGACGTTGAACATGGGAAGACGTACTTCGCCATTTGTATATGAAGTGGCATTGTAAGACTATTAATTTTTAAAATCTTGTTTGCTAAAATATTAACATTATTTATCTTTCACGTGATTATTATCAGAATTATTAAGTTCCTTATTCCATTACTGAATGTACATTTAGTACTTGAAATGTAAGTTATTGTATCATTTTAAGTATATTGTTTTTCTTATATTCTTCGGAATAGATTGTACCTAAAGACTGTAAGTTATCATTAAAAGAAAAGTGCAATCATCAGAATCATGAAAATATTGAATGTCACTTTTATATGCAAAAAAGCAAATGTGGTTTTCTTTTAATTAGGAGAAAAGATCTAGTTGCACAAGAATTTTCCTTATCATGTCGTATTGTAATCAATAACTTCAACATAATTAGCAGGAAAAAGTCCATAAGTACCATCAGGACCAAGACCTTGCCACCATCCTTCATCAATAGCATCTATGTGTGTAATAATATCTCCAGGATCAAAAGTAATTTCTGTATCATCAGCTGCCTGATAGTCATATAATGCTCTTGCTTTCATTCCTTCGTTATTTGGATCAAAATATAAGTACTGGCCATCCATTTGACTGTACAACTCATTTTCAGTAATTGCTTCTTTCGCCGCTGATGGCTGTTCAGATTCTTCTGATTCTGGTAATTTGGATTCTTGAACTTGATTTGGAGACGAAGATGCATTTGAAGCAGTAGTAGTCACTATATCTAATTTGTGTGTTTTATTTACTTCTGTTTTCAGTTCTTCTACTTTAGTATGAGGTGTCTCTTTTTGTTGATTATCCTCGAGTGCTTTCTTAGCTGCTTCTACATGACTATTTTTCGGTATATATTGTTGTTGCACTGGAGAAGATTTCATTTGACCAGCTGCCGAATTCTGTTCAAAAACAGCTCTTGCATTTATCGTTCTTTGAGCAATTAACTGTTGCGTTTCTTTGCTTCTCTGACGTCGCAGTTCTTCACTTCTCGATCTATGATCGTCTTCCACATCGTTACTATAATGCTGACTTGCAGCTAGTTGATTACGTAAATTGTTCGCTTCCTCGGCACGTTGTTCCGCCAACTTTTGTCGCGCTATTGAATTTTCTTTGGCAGTGACCTATAAGTACGTCAAAATTTGAATAGCAAAATATTCATTGTGAAATAATAAGTATAATGGTACGAAAGTATTTACTTGTTGTTCTCTGAGCATTGCTTCTTTTTCTTCTCTAGTTCTAATTTCTTCTTCAAGTCGTTGCCGTTCTTTTTCACATTTTATACGTTCTTGTTCCAGTCTTTTCTTCTCTTCCAATTCTTCCCTTTGCCAAAATTGATCACGTTCTGTTGCATTTATTTCTTGTTCAGGAATTACTCTGCAATATATATCCTCTTTAAACTGAAAATTTTAATATTTTTTTGACTAAAATAACAGAGATATATATACCTGCGATATGTGGTACCCACTGGACCTGCATTTCCTTCATTTTCACCACGTGGTTCATTAAATTTATATGCTGAAGCTGTTGCTCTAGCAAGTTTTTCCATAATAGAATCTACTTCAACATCATCTTCAGAACGAGCAGTAATTGTTATATGTGCACCTTTTAATAATTTTTCTATATCCCTAATATGATTTGCACAAGTACCCTTTCTAACAATTGGTGCGCCTTCTCCTTGCTAAAACAAATTTCATTTTATTATATGTACAATAAAGTTACTAGCTTTTTGAATATACCCAATTTTTTACCCAATTTATTAAGAGACATTTTGGTAGACTTGTCTTAGTATCTATTACACGACAAAAGGCATACATGATATGACTACTATTTAAACGGTCAATCATTTCTTCCAAACCTCCATTTCCAGTGCCAACTACTTTTAAGTTGTTAGTTTGTCCCTCGTATCCAAACAAGGCCCTATGGATAATAATAATTTAGCAAAAATATATATCACATATTCATAATTTCTCTTTTAATTAACATTAAAAAGATATGTTAATAATTAATAAAGTTCAACGGAGATATAAAATTATTTTATTTTACAAACAATATTTACTTTTCAGTCTCTATACAAATAGTATTGCCGACTATTTGTTTTATCATTGCAAATGCTTATTATATATCTTGTACTATTTATATCGATCGACAAAAGTAAAAAGAAGAGTTACTTAACATAGAAAAGCAATTTACTTTACGAGTTTTTGAGGATTCAATTGAACATTTCTAAATTTTTAAGGTGCAAAATTCATATCGGCACATAGCCGGGATGGAAATATAATATAAAAGAAATGCAAGCCTACCAGTTAGTAGACGATTTATCGTCGACTACGCTGTGCCAGGCAGCCACTAAAGCGTCTTTATTTTTTGTTAAATTAATTGACATTTTTGTCGTTCAATTCATTAAAAAAATCAACCGTAACAACAAATCTGAACAAGTTGCTACTGGTGGATTAATGTCACAGTTGCATCTTCACGTTTTGCCTTTTTGATTAAATGTCAACGCCCTTCTGTTACCAACCGCAAGACGATGGACTTTATCTGTAGATAAAGTGTTTAAATCGATTACCAAAAACCAAATTAACTTATACTTGAAACACATAAATATGAGCACATAAGTTTTGACGTATCTAAAACATATTTTAACAAAACTTTATTGACGAAATCCTTCAAGACTGTTCTACAAAGTACGATTGATTATTCGTACGTACTGACTGAAACCTCCAATCAGCACAGGCAACACGAGCAAATAAGAAGTAGGATACAATTGAAATATATTATATAGTATGAAATTATCAAATTTTATCTCGATTCGTATCTTTTATTTAAAAAAATTATCAATAAATACATAAAGTTTGTTTGTTAATGTAAATAAAGAGAGAATAATATTCATAAAATAAATATTGAATCAATGTTTGACGATACAAATTCAATTTGCAACGTGTATACCACTTTACCACTTTCAAACAAATTGTCGTAACTGCAATTTCGTGCCGGCAATCAGAAAATTAATATAATCTTTAGTTTAAATAATAATATTTTCATTATGTTTGTCAAGTAATACGATAAACAAATTAAAAAATTGGATATTTTTATTATTTCATTGAAGATGGTAAGTTGAACGTTTTTGGTTTGGCGGATTAACCTTTATTTCTTCTTATAACAAAATAACTTTATTTTTTTGTACTTTTTTGCAGTTGTTTTATTCGTTTTTCAAGTCCTTAATTGGAAAGGACGTAGTTGTAGAATTAAAAAATGATTTGAGGTAAGTTGATCAAGAAAAAAATTCTACTTTGTAATATTTATAACATCATTTAATAAAACTTTTGTATTTAGTATTTGTGGTACACTGCACTCAGTAGATCAATATCTGAATATAAAGTTAACTGATATAAGTGTAACTGACCCAGATAAATATCCTCATATGGTTTGTAATACTTATAATTTTACATGTATAATAGTAGAGAACATTATAACAAAAAACAAAAATATATCTTTCAGTTGTCTGTAAAAAATTGTTTTATTCGAGGATCAGTAGTGCGTTATGTACAATTGCCAGGAGATGAAGTGGATACTCAGCTATTACAAGACGCTGCACGCAAGGAAGCAGCAGTTCAAGCAAGATAATTTATATTGATATTAGATGTAAAAATATCTAATGATTTATTTTTTACTATTGAAATCAACAATGTATACAATGAACATAAATTATAAATTTATATATCTTCAAATGTGCAAAGCGAATTAACATCTAACATTAAAAAGATAGTTTCTAATTATAACAATTCTCTGAAATTATTTTTTATTTTATATGTTTCATATAAAGAAAGAAAAAAAGAAAAAACATGTTAATTACACATAAAATTAATAAATTTCATTAAAAAATTGAAAATTTTTAATGCATATAAGTGTACATAAAGCATATCTTTTTAAACCATATATATAAGATAATTTATATTATTATCACTTATGACTTTGCCCATATCACCAATGCCTTGTCATACCAGATGTATTTACCTTTTATATCAGTATTTTCTGGTAGTAATGCACTATAGACAGGAGCCTCAGCACCTTGATCAGGTGTCAAAATACCTTTGTGACTGGTCATATCAGTGTTTACATAACCAGGATGTACAGAATTTACTACAAGATCTTCCCTAGTATCTGAATTAAACATTTTTTGATGAATTCCAGATAGAGCAGATACTCCAATTTTGCTTACAACATAAGCAGAATTTGGCCATCCTTGTTCTAAATATGTGTTCGCCTTTGCAGCACTGAAAGTATAATCAAAACTTAAAATACATCTTATAAAAGTTAGTTTATATTTTGTAATTCAACATACTCAACAAATTCACGTAAAATATCATCTAATTCTTCCTCTGTAAGATTTGGATCTGAAATTTTTTTTCTTAGTGATTCATTAGGAATGAATGATAAACGACCAGAAGAACTTGATACATGTACTACACGTGCATGTGGTTTCAATAATGGATAAAGCTTCTTGCACATTTTTCTTAAAGCAAAATAGTTTACTCTCAGTGTCTCTTCAGCTTGTATAGAAAAAGGTTCTGTAGCTGACACCTGTATATTTAATACAATTTATTTAATATTTTTTATACAAAAATAAATAAATTAATGAATTAGATTGTAATTACCTTAAATGCAATAGCAGCATTGTTTACTAATACATCCAGTCCTTGATACGTTTCTTTTAAATAATCATGAAAAGTAGAAATGCTATCGTCATCAGTAATATCAAGTTGATGAAATTTTGGGTTTAAACCTTGTTTTTCGAGTTCTTTAACAGCATTTTGTCCTCGAGTAATATCACGAGCTGTTAAATACACAATTCCATCAAATTGTTTGCAAAGATGTTTTACAATAGCAAATCCAATGCCTTTATTTCCACCGGTTACCTAAATATATATTCATTAAGGTATACAAATTCTAATAATATATAATTTACAACATACTTACAACAGCTATACGTTGAGTCATGTTGAGTATTTCAAAATGATCTTAAAAATAATAATTCGAAAAAATCAAACGCAATATGTAAGTAGTTCGATAATAGTACATTTATGTTCGTATGTCCTACTGGATTGAATGTACGTTATTAAGATCATATATAGTCGCGTCAATCTTTAAGCTGACGCACTGATAATTATTTATTATGCCATAATAGTAAGAATAGTCCTTGGTTTTTTCTATATCTTGACATTATTTATGTTTAAGCAATATCACTCAATATATCGAAACGAATTATCAAAACAAAAGCTTTATGTAGCTTTAAACAATATTGAATTTTTGAAATTATTCTACAAAATTGATCCGTCGGAAAGTAAATTGACAAATTATGAATAAAATTCTAACAATTAAACGTACATTTAAGTATTTAGTAATGTATCTATTCGCTTCTAGAATGTTTTTTAATTATATACTGTTAATTATTGGTTACTTATAGCGTGTCGAAAAGATGATAGTTACAAATTAAAATTTCAAATGCTCAAACGATTAAATTTTGGTAAGGAGCATTACAAAAAACTGATTTCATTCTGAAAATTAATAATTTGGAGTAATGATTCCAAATTTGAATTAAAATTAAACAGATGAAGGAAATATGTATGAGAGAAGGGACAGAGAAAGGGAAATTTTTAAATAAAGCATTATCATCTCAAGTGTAAAACATAATGGAGGATGCATAATAATGTAAAGTTGTTTCAACAATGAACGAGTTGAAAAATTCACAGTTATTGAAGGTATGTTAGCGGCAACAAAATACATAAATATATTACATGAAAATTTATTTCCATCAGTTGAAAAATTTGTATTTGAACAAATGTACATGTGTTTCAACATGATAACAATTCGAAACATACCGCGAAAATTGTGGAAAAATTTGTTGAGGAAGATAGTATTTCATTGGTTTCTTGAGCACCATAAAGTCCCGATCCAAATTCTATAGAACATTTGTAAGATGAATTTGAAAAATGCGAACGCAAATTAAAATGATAACAGCTCTGAATGAAATGAAATAAAATACAGCCAGAAATTATTTTTATTAGAGATAATAAAGGCTAAAGGCTATCAAACTTCTTATTAATATTTCAATTATGGGGATTTACGGAATTATAATTTCGTTTACATATAATATTAACGATAGACATCAATTAGAAAATGTTTGTTAATTTTATTATTAATCCAATAAATTATACGATAAGATTTTATCTTATAAAATTATTTTCTATAACATTACTTTAAAACCTGAATAAATATATTTTTGTTAATATTCTTATTGCAATCGTTTATCATAATGATAAGTGTTAACTTAAATTATGACGCAATTGTACATATCTGTTTGCGAGTAGCATGGGTAAATAATTACACATTATAATGATTAAATTGTTTCATATCAGTTTTTTTTTTTTTTATGCATGATTTAATTTCTTGTTCTCGTATATATGTATATATGTTTAAAAAAAATATTTTAAAAGGTACAGTAATCAACAAAATTCAACAATAGATTGAAATATTAAATAATAATTTATTATAAAAATTACTACATTAGTTACAAGCTAAGTCACTACTTCTAATCTAGCAATTCTGTATTGTCTTGTCTGGATATTTCTAATAAGAACAAAGGGACATTTCTTATCAATCAGTTCAATTAATGAGTTTAATGTCACATATCCAAAACCTATGCCTTTTGCTTTTGTAAAACAAAAATCACCCATTGTAATATAACCCATGATTTCTCTATTACAAGAATTTCGTACTTTAACACACTCTGGAAGATATAACTGTAACATTTTTTGAGATTGTTTACTAATAGCCTCACGACTTATTTCTAATAAATTCTTTAATTTATTTTCATAGTTAAAATTTTGAAAATTCTTAGATAACATTTTACTTAATTTATTAATTAATGTCTTTCTATGATGTATTCTTTGTCTCTTCAACCGTTTTAACAAAGCTAAATGATTTTTTCGCGATATTTTACGAGTATTTTCATTTGGATCAATATTTAGTTTTTCCACAGGACCTGACCAGCTTCTATTGATCTTGAAGTTTTCTATGTCCTCCTTAATTGGCATACATATTATTGCAAATCTTTTAGGATATCCCTTTCTTATGATATCTACTTTAACGTGAATTAAATAATTTTTATCTTCAAATGCATTATGCACAGAAAGACTTGATATATGATTATTTGACTTATTACACCTTTTTGAGTCATTTTCTTGAACTAAGTTTTTTTGCAATAAGTTTATTAATTTACGATTTCTTAATACAAAAAAATGTTCTGTATTTGTCCATTCTTTCATTAAAATATTCCATTCGCAAAAGAAAGGACTAGTAATTCCAAATTTAATGAAATTTACGCGCCTGTTTGGTGGGTAACGAAAATATTTTTCTCTTAATTCCAATTTGGTATTTAGTGCTTCTCTTGCGTATGCAGGAGTATCTGGATCATTAATATCTGGGGATTGCATTTTCTCACATTCAAATGCTATAGATTTTGATTCTCTGAGTGCACCAATTCTTACAGAACGAAATATAAATGCAAGCCAGAATGACATTGCCCAATTCGATGGAAGTATAACATCTATTCCAGAACCTAAACCTAAGATGATAAATTTATTAATTTTATTTATCTTTATTGATAAGATAATTTTCTAGCGTAACTTTTATTAATAGAAGTTACCTGTATTTCCAATTCCAGGTTTCTGAATGAGCAATATCGGTATCTTTGCCATGATTTCTTCATTAAAATATTTGTCATTATTTAGACCAGGTACTAAGCATTGACTTCTTATTTTATTAATTGCACTTGTCGTTACACATGTCTTACTCACTTTTTCTCTTATCTTTTGTTCCCAAAGTGGACTAGAATTCGCATTTATAGGAGGTATTGATATTATCTCAGTTATTTGTGTCTCTTTCTGAGGTTTAGTTCTTTTATCTGGTAAATGGAATCTTGGATCCAAGACTGTAAAGCCAAGAATAATATTTGATGGTAACTGACTAGGCGATTGTAACGTTTTTAACGCTTGCCATAATTGTTCCTGAATTTTTAAAGACTCAATATTTTTCTGGTTATCATAATATTCAGTATGCCATGATTTATCAGAATTATGATCCTTCTTGCAATCTATTTGATTGTTACCAAATTGTGTTGTATTCAGATTCAAATTAATTATTTCATTGAAGTTTGGCAATTGAAGAGCGTTTGTTAAAACATTAATTGTCAACGGTCCGTAAAAACGAAATCGATTAAAAGTATTTTTATGAACAGTCATTTTACAATCTTTTTCATTAATATACAGGGAAGATTCTAGAGTTTGATTACTCGTAGTAGCACAATGTTCGTTGCATTTGAATTCAAAACTAGATACAATTTCCGCGACGACATCGTCGAGAAAAGATGGATGTACCCATATCCATATAGTTCTTAGATCAGATTGATTCGGATTCCATAAAAAATGTACATGACCAATTGGAAATTGAGGATAACCATTCTTTTTAAAAAACATAACAGTTCCTTCTCGTGTGCCTTCCATAAAAATTTTCGCGGCAAACGTTAATTCAAATGGATTGCAATGACTTTTCAACGTTTCTTTTAAAATTTCCTGATGACCATTAATTTCGACACATGTATAATATGAAATATCTTGCATCAAGCAGTGTTTCACCATTGCACGATAATTCGCTTTGAAACATTTATCATTCGCGTAACTTGCGAGTCTGTAACCCCATTTTTCTATCATATGAAAACGTTTTGCATGCCAGATATGAGTTTCTAGCCAAATTTTATTTCGTTGCCTTCGTGTATATTCAGCAAGTAAATTACGAGGGCGTCTGCGATATCTACGCGATGATCTTTTAATTTTTGGCGGCAATCCAGATTTGGTCATTTGATTTAAATGTGCTTCTTGTAGTCTGCGCGGTAAACGCTTGACATTATGAGACATGACGCGCCTGCGCATATATACCGGCAATTTTTGAAATACAAGTTTTGTTTGCTGAGGATTTTCTGTAAATATATTAATTAGTAATAATTTTGTGGTCAAAGTATTTAGTATAAATGTATACATTGTACAGTGAAAAAATTTTAATTAGTTATAATAGTTTCGTGTGTCATTTAACATACCTATAGAATACGTCATTGCAGCAATTTCACTAGCTCTTGCTGAAATAAGTTTCATAATGTGGACTTCATATGGCAATTGTTGCGATCCACCTAAAAATTCATCAAATTGTTCCGTTCCCGCCATATTTTATGTATATGAATATTTTTCTAAGTTTTGTTTACACCAAGATAACCTGATATACTTAAATTTATTATTAGTAGAAAAAGGGTGTTATAAATCAATGTACTATAAATATCCTAGTGGTAAGCACACACAGTCACTATATAAACATAATTCTGAAATACAAATTGTAATTTACTGCATTGCTTGACACTAGTTCTTGACAATACTCAGATGCACGTGTCAGTGTCCATTTAAAGCATAGTTAAAAATACTACAATTTGAACACAGAAACGCCGACGAGTTTGAACTAGCCAAAAATATTTTAGTCCTGCGCCTGTAGGGGGCATTCTTTGAGGTCAATAAAAATTGGACTTAAGGAGAACGAAATCGTAATAATTATTTATCAAAGCGTGTACGCAACACGCGTTGGCTCTAGTACATTTGGATGCTCGCTAACCAATAAGGAATAGGTTGTCTGCAACGATACATCAAACATCAAGAGTTTCATTGGCTCGCAGAATTCCGAGCCAACTGTACGAAACTATACATAAAAGTAGTTGGAAAGCGAATACAGTGTACTATGTAGGAATTGGCCGCTGGTCTACGATCTATACAATTACCCCGTCCAATGATGCTCAATTTGCCTGCTATTTGTCAGTTAAATGTTCGGTGCGATCCTTCTGGTAATGTCAAGATCCGCGCCGTGAAATAGTCGCCATCTTTGCGACTGAGTCGCATCTCAATTTGGCCAGTTGTATGTTCCGCGCAGCTTTATGTAGCGTTAAAGAAAAAAAAAATCGTTGAAAGTCGGTGTCGAAGAGGCAAAGCGGTTTCATCGAGATCGGATAGTGTTCGAGCTGTTCCGAAAAGTGTTAGCCCTGCGCGAAAGTGGGCGGAACGCATGGATCTTACGTTCTTTTGGCCGCGCTACAGTATGCGATAGAGAAAATTGTCGACATTTGACAAGTGACACGTCAAATTCGTATTAAACGTTCCATAAGTTCGTAATAGTAATATTAACTCGTGTAATCTGGTTGGTTGACCATTTACCGGCATATGCCATTCTAGTGTGTGTTTGTTGAAACATAGTTTGGTGTAAGAAAAAATGAGTTGTCAACGTAACGCTGGCAAGATTACAGTGCCGGACGAATTACGAGATGTTCTATTGGAGTTCACGATCGGCTATCTGTTGGAGCAACCAGTGGATATTATCGACTACGCCGTAGGTTTTTTCACGCAACTTCGGGAAAGTCGTCAAACTCAGTTGATTCAAGCCCCTGCGCAGACCGCCTCTTCTACGCCGGACGAGTCTGTCGAGGAAGGTAAGCCAGTGAATTTTCATTCGGGATGCGACTTCCTATCGCGTCGAGTATTTCTTCAGAGCCCATCCGACACGTTTTTTCACAGAAAGGACTTTCAGTGCGTGATATTACTTCCGTTTCGAAACTTGATCTCTACGTTCGTCTTTGAAATTCGATCGGTGTGTTAGTGATTCTTTGTACAAAAAATTATACATATGTGCACATCAATGGAGACCGGTACGATATTTCCCGCTTAATCCGCCCCTTTTCTCCAATGTGTTCGATTTCTAAATTGGAATTAATTTCAATTTTTAATATTTCTGATATTTAATTCGATTTATAAACTACGTTAATTCGACTTAT